TTACCTACGGGCAACACACATATTAATGGTTCATAATGCATGAATAATCCACATGTAAATCATGACGCGTGAGTTGAAAATATTTTAAAAATAAAAGATAATAATAATACTCGAGTGTGTTCGGAACGTCGATTTTACCTACGGGCAACACACATATTAATGGTTCATAATGCATGAATAATCCACATGTAAATCATGACGCGTGAGTTGAAAATATTTTAAAAATAAAAGATAATAATAATACTCGAGTGTGTTCGGAACGTCGATTTTACCTACGGGCAACACACATATTAATGGTTCATAATGCATGAATAATCCACATGTAAATCATGACGCGTGAGTTGAAAATATATATATATATATATATAACATAACTTTCTTTTAATTTATCTCCTCCCACCTACACTCAGTCCTCATCTCCTATCATTGGCTCTCATATTGGTGGCGTAGCCGCCGCCATCTGTGTTGTCGCCCATCACTGTCGTTGGTGGAGTCACTTGTTTTTTTTTCCATCGTATAGGACCTCTCTTTGAATAATTCTCTCTCTCTGATCATGTATATGATTTAAAGAGAAGAAATTCGAGGGTTAAGGCATACAATAATTGGAACAATCGAAAGAAACAGGTGGGGAAAAGCTTTTTGAGGAGGATTTCACGTAGATAGCTCTGAAGTGTATATCCAAGATAAGATCGAGTTAAGACACTTCATAGGCATAATCTCAAAGAAGACCTGACGAAAAAAAGCCCACAAACACAGATTCATGTTATTGTATATGTTTTGGGATTTGCTTCTTCATATAAGGACAGACCCCTATATTTAATTACATCTTTTAGCAACTGAGGATTGGTTAGGAAAACTCCCGATTAAGGTTGTAAATCATCCCATAAAATTTTAATGTCATTATCAAGGAAACTCAAGGCCCTATCCGACAGCTAGCGGATGCTTGCAGGCTCAAAAGAGTCCTATCAAGGTCTTAAACTATCATGTTTTATTGTGTAGTTATCAATGGTTTAGTTGAGGCTCATCATTTACTCTAGGTTTTACATGTCTGTCCTTGCAAAACAGAGTTAGCACACTTTAATAACTAGTAAAGTAAATCTAGGGTGACAACCATCGTCTATTTTTAACAACCCTATAAAACATAGAAAGCATAAAATATGTTTGGTGATTTAGTTGTTTGTTTATTTTTTATTTTAGACAGCCTGGTTAAGATACTAATGACTTTCCATCATCCTGGGGTTTTCAAGTTCCCTGATCTGCAAATTCTGAGAGGCGGTCAAACCTAATTTAACTGAAAAATTATTACCAGCAACCATGGGTTGTGTCATCCAACAGATCTTCGTTGACCTAAGTAGCTGGACTAAAGTTGCCTTAAATGATCTTTGTTCATTAGGGAAGTTTTAATGTCTTTTTTAGATTTTAAAGGTTGAAAATTTTAGGTTGCTTAAAACTTATTAGCCAAATAGTTTTTTTTATTTTTTGTATTTTATTTATTTATTTTTGTGGTTGGAATGACCAAGTCAAGATCCCATGTTCCATCCTTCCAGGGTCATTGGGGTTTACAGTTTGAATAGTCACAAGTGACTGGAAGATATCTTGTTAGCACCTGTGGATTGCCTCCTGCAAAATATCTTCTCAAATTAGGTTATATTTTATGATTAAAGTTTAAGTTTTAGTGGCTTTTACGGTGGATTTTATTTCATGTTTTTTATGTTTGTTTGTTCCTTGGCCCAGGTTGCCCTGACGGAGGCAAAGTGTGCTTTTTTTCTCTCAAATGAGAAGTCAAACACTCCTTAACTTTTAATCACCTAAGTCTAAGTTAAATTCATATTAATCTGAGTTAGGTCAGACTGCTCTGAGATGAATTCCTAGCCGATCTGAGTTAGCTTGAGTTCACCTTAGGTCAATTCCAAATAGGTTTAAGTTAACCAGAGTTTAACAAGATTGACTCAGGTTGGCTTAGTTCGGCTGGGGCCAAGCTAAGCCTAATTGATTTGGACTAACTCGGGGTTAGATTGAGTTGATCCAAATCGAGCTGAGTTAACTTTAAGTTACTCGGTGTAAGTCTATTTAACTCAAAGTCGACTAAGATCTAACTTGAGTTAGAAATAGATAACTTCTAAGTCAATTTATATTTGACTTTTCCTTCAATTGAATCAAGTCTAAGTTAAGTTTGACTTAAGTTGATTAAACTCGGTTCAAACTTAAAGTTAAGTTCGAGTATAAGCCCTCAATAGGGTTGCCTTAGTTAAATTAGATTGATCTGAGGTATTCAAGCTAAGTCGGGTTAACCCGAGTTAGGCAGGTTGGCCCGGAGGTTTAGCTGAATCGGGCTAACCCGACTAAGGTCGGTTTGTCTCAAAGATTTAGTTAGATTGGGTCAATTAGAGTTAGATCAGGTTGACTCAGAGAAACTGTTGAATTGGGTTAACCCAATTTAGTTTAGGTTAGCCTGAAGAATAAGTTGAATTGGGTTAACTCGAGTTAGGTCATGTTAACATGAGTTAGGTTGGTTTTTCCCAGAAAATTAGTTAAATCGGGTTAACCTGAGTTTGATCGGGTTGAAGATTTAGTTGAATCGAGTTAACTTGTGTTAGGTTAGGTTGATCCAGAGAACTAGTTGAATTTGGTTAATCAAAGTGAGGTCAGGTTAACTTGGAGATTCAGTTGATTTGGGTTAACCCAAGTAAGGTCGGGTTGACTTGGAGAATCAGTAAAATTGTGTTAACCTAAATTAAGTCGGGTTGACCCAAAGATTCATTTGATGTGGGTTAACCTAAGTTAGGTCAAATCAACCCGTGATTTAGTTGATCTTGGTTAACTTGAGTTAAGTCGAGTAGATCCAGAGATTTAGTTGAATTGGGTTAACCCGAGTTAGGTCGGGTTGACTCAAACAATCAGTTGATTTGGCTTAATCTGAGTTAGGTCAGGTTGACCCGGTGAATTAGTTGAATTGGGTTAACCAGAGTTAGGTCGGGCTGAGCTGGAGATTCAGTTGATTTGGGTTAACCCGAGTTAGGTTGAGTTAACCCGGAGAATCAGTTGAATTGGTTTAATGATCCACCTAAAAATAACCTATTTTTAGTGTACATTTTATGCTCATTTTAAGATTATTTTTTTATGATATTGCACTTTAAAGGAAGATATTTTGCATGCTTTTTATTTCAGGCACATGGAATGGACATTTGGAGAAAATGAGGACAAACTGGAGCAAAAATGGAAGATTTTTTATGGCTGCATAGCGCCAGGTATCGAGTGGGTTGGGCGCTATAGCGCCCCAGACTGACGCTATAGTGGTAGTAACCAACTTTCTAGAATATCGATTGAATTTGGCCAAATTATGAAGGGGTGCTTGAAATGAACATTTGCTATTTTCAGTTAACTATTAATAGGGCCAAATTATGGACAAAAAAAGAGTTTTTTTGGAGTGTTGGAGAGGACTTGTGGGAGCCATGAAGAAGGATTCTTAAAGGTTCTGTGTGTGTGTGTGTGTGTGTGTGTGTGTGTGTGTGATTCTTTGTTTTGTGTAAGAGTTTGAAAATTTTCTTCAAGGAAACTTCAGGATTTGCTTGGGGAGAAGACATATGATATTTATTTTGTATTTGTGTCTAAGTTTTTCTTGTAAGACTTGGATTTCAATACAAATTATGTGTTTTTATTTTATCAACAAGTTTGGTAAAGCTTGTCCAATCAACTATGTTGTGTTCGCGTAGCTAGTCGGTTGTCTTATATGACTTTTGATCGACAAAATTTCTTTGGTCAGCGAGATTTGTCGACCGACTAAGCTAGTCTCACTATCAACCTCGATTCTTTATTGAGGAACTCCTATTAGTAGAACAAGACTAAACTATTGAGCATGGGGTGAATCACTGTAATCTGATAGATAGCTTATTCTTGAATGGAGTCCTTCGAGAAGTTGGTAGGCTATTATATTTTTAATTCTTGGCCCCTGATGAGGAACCTTAGAGTTATCTATGATACAACTAGTGATACTAGATTCTTTCTCTAAGTCAGATTACGATGATAAGCAAGTGGATGCCTTTGCTCACTTGAATAGTCTTAGTCCTCGGCTCAGATGACCTACACCCGGTCGGTCTTCAACCCCGATTCAAGGGGTTGCATATGATCACATAAGTGAGTCATTTTGTCTTTCGTCAATAAACCCTCCTTGTACTTCATTTCTTCTACATTCCTAGCGCACAACATCAAAATTAATATTTTATCACCATGAATTTTTCAGCACGCAACAATTACATCACTCTTAAGTCCAAAGAGGAATATTTTTTGAAGCTTGCAACACATAGCATGAAAGCTAATGTCTCATATGAGTTCTCCCTATTTTATTTTATTTGTATTGGGATCTTCTTATAGTACTAATAGGACAAACTCTCTTTATCACCAATATTAATACAACTCTTTATAACATCAACCAATGAAAGCTATCGTCCGAAATGGATGTGTACTATTTTCTATCAATATCCTATCTAATTGCAAGGAAAAGTATCCTTCAAAACTTAAATAACATATAATTACCAAAAATCTTTTTACCAGACCAAATCTCCTTTTTCCAAAATTTAATGCAAGAAAATCAAATCTCACCCGATCTTCATATAACATTAAGAAGATGATATCTTTTCATTACTATTATTAACAAGGATTCTAGCATGAAAAATTATTTTACAAGGACACCACATGCAGAGATACATGCGGTGTTCGATTTTTACCGTCGATCATAATGATCAAAATTAAAAAAAAAAAAATTTAAAAGTGAGGCCATCGAAATACATTTTTGTGATGATGGAAAGTGAAGATTGAACACCACAAATATCTGTGGAATAATATTTCTAGCACACAAGATTCATTTATGTATCATATATATCATCTTTAATTACTAAATAAAACTAAAAACATAAAAATTAACATCACAAACATTTTAAATTTTATTTAAAGATCAAATAAAAATGACGATTTTGATTTAGAAGCTACTCTTCACATCCGACAGTGTCATGTGTCAGCAATAATGCAGCTGTCCTCTCCTTCAACCCCACACACTTAAAAAACGAACGAACACTGCAGCCATCTCACAGTTCCCCGGACCTTCTTACAGATGGCCGCCATTGTTGATGATGACGAGATCATCGTCGAGATCCTTCCCACCATCCGCACCTACCGCAGCGGCCGCGTGGAGCGTTTACAGCCCACCGATTTCATCCCGGCCTCACTCGATCCCCCCACCGCCGTCCTCTCCAAGGACGTTTTGATCAATCCCTCCACAGCTCTATCCGCTCGTCTCTACCTTCCCGCTCCTTCCACCACCAATTATGATCGCCGGAGGTTCCCGGTCTTCGTCTTCTTCCACGGCGGCGGATTCTGCATCGGCAGCGCTTTCTCTTCCATCTATCACTCCTATCTCAACTCCCTGGTCTTCATGGCCCAAGTTATTGCCATCTCCGTCGACTATAGACTCGCCCCGGAGTATCCTCTCCCAACCGCCTATGATGATTGTTGGGAGGCGATAGAATGGATCAGCAGCGGAGGTTGCAGAGGATCAGGCGAACCAGAGCCGTGGCTGACGGAAGCAGCGGATCTCGGCAAAATCTTCGTAGCCGGAGATAGCACTGGAGCTAACATAGCCCATAATATAGCCGTTAGATTGGGACAGAACAAGTTGGTGGTTGAGGGTTTGGTTCTGATGCATCCCTATTTCTGGGGTAAGGAGAGGATTGGGTCGGAGAGGAAGGAGAGGGAGGGGACAATGCTTAAAGGAAAGGATGCTGATGCTCTCTGGCCATTTGTGTGCCCGGCGACAAGCGGACTCGACGACCCAAGGGTGAATCCGACGGAGGAGAGCCTGGCGGCGCTGGGATGTCGCAGGGTGCACGTAAGTGTTGCCGGGAGAGATCTGCTGAGGGAAAGCGGGAGGCTTTACTTCGGGAAAGAGGGAGGCTTTACTTCGAGAAACTGAAGCAGAGTGGTTGGGAGGGAGAAGCCGAATTCTGGGAGGGGGAAGGGGAGGACCACGTCTTCTTCTTGCTCAACCCTGGGGGTGAGAAAGCTGTGGAGTTCATGAATCGCCTGGTTAATTTTCTTAACAAAAATTAGATTTTTATACAGTGCTGCTTCAGTATAATATGTCCAATAAGTTATTAGTGAACTATCAGGTATCTATCTCATGGACGAGATTCTCATGAGAATATGTATTCAGAACTTTAATAAGAAATTATAACAATTTCTATCTGTGCGACGCACATATTCATCAGCAGATATCTGGACGGAAAAAAAAAAACAAAACAAAACAGAGTTACTAAAATATATAGAACATAAGCATGTAGTCTAAAATACTTGATATCGATTTAGTCTTAGCTTCAGAGATTTACCAAATTCTCAACCATTTGAAGGATTTCATTATTTCAAGGCACAGGAAATGGAAATCAGAGCTAATACTTTCTAAAAAAATCAGCTAAAAATTCAATCTTGGCCATTCCCTGCTCGGTCTGGGGATGAGATAGATGGAAACAATGGCCAGCGTCTTGCGACACGAACAACTCCGCCTCGCCAATCCACCCGCTGTCCTTAAGCTTCTGGTAGTAAAGAATTCCTCTGTCTTTCAACAAATCCTTCTCGGCGACAGTCACTATAACTCGCTCGCACTTCAGATCTGCAAGGCTCGGCGCACCATCGGCCACCGGATTCCTCCTGGGGTCATCCATCCCTTCTGTCCCGGGGAAAATGAACTTCCACAAGCGGTCATGGGGCTCCCGTAAATGGAGATCAGTGGGTTCCGAGCCCACCGGAGCCGAACCCCAGAAGAAGGGGTGGATCAAAGCGATACCCTTGATGGGCAACCCTTCCGCCGAAGCCCGAAGTGCAATCTGGTGGGAAATGTTTGCTCCGGCGCTGTCGCCGGCGATGAAGACGCGGCTAAAGTCGCCATGTTGACTGAGCCACGGATCTGGCTTGGAGAAGAACCAGCGGAGGGCGGTCCAGGCGTCGTCATAGGCGATGGGGAGGAGGTGTTCAGGAGCGCGGCGGTAGTCGACGGAGACGGCGAGGAGTGGGGTTCGGGAAGAGAGATCGTTGAGGTGGTGGTGGTAGGTGGGGGAGGCGGCGGATTCGGTGCAGAAAGCGCCGCCGTGAATGTAAAAGAGGAGAGGGGAGTCGTCTGGCCGCCGGCTGCTGCGGGTGGGAGGTAGAGGCGGGCGGAGATGCCGGCTGAGGGATCGATGGTGATGTGCTTGGAGTCAACGCCGGTTGCTGGGTCGAGTGAAGGAGGAACCTCGTCGGTGCCGCTGAAGCGGCGGACGCGGCCGCCGGGGGG